CTAGTTATTTAGATTCATATTGTTTCTCTATTTGTAACGAAGGGAGGATGATTATTATTTTCATCGAAGACTAGTTATTTTTTCAGTAATCAATGAAAATACCATTCTCGATAATAATGGTAAGGAAGATCCCTGAATGTTAGGAAAATTTGCTCCCCCATCCTCTTAAAGCTACCAAACTATACTGTTGCCTCTGATTTTCGCAAATAATTAGTATTATTTCTGGATTTAATAATCAAAATAATATTCAATGATAAAAACTCTCTCATATTTAACGATAAAAACATAATTCTTCACTTAGTGTACTTATGATAAACAAACTGAATTTTAGCACACCTTGTAACTTAAACACCATATAGGGACCGAGCGTACGGAGCAGTACGGCTTCAGCAGTATGCGCATGCGAGAAATTTTTATCCCTACAAGAGATCGATTTTTTTTAATGCTTATACGTAATAAATACTCTATATGTTTTGTAAATTAAATTTCCATAAAATAAGAATAATATTTTGTATACCATAATTTTACCATAATCATTCAAGTTTCGAAGGTAAAAAGTACAATTAAAATACGTTCAATAATTATTTAATTCTGAGAATAAAAAATTATGTAAAATATGTACAATGATTGTTTGAGATTTTATGAATAATATAAAGACCATACAAATCAGAATTTTTGTTGGTTTTTCACTTCTGACCCATCTTAGGTGGATGATATGCCAAAATCAATAGCACCATCGTGTTCTCCGGATATAATATATCGAAAACATGTAACATATGTTCGAAAATGATATTAAATTACCTCTGAATACAAAAGGCATAGCTGTCTACAGTATGGATAAGGCCGACAGTCTTAGCAGAATATCATTTTTGCCGACTTAATAATGAGTTTAAATTATTTTTAAACGTATAATACATGTTGTAACAGGCTGCCGTTTAACCTACGACCTATTAATCGTATTTATTATTTCGGTCAAACGACGCCTTGTTAGCTGCGTGCCGTAAGCACGTTCACCTACCTTGTCCGGGAGTGCGCCTGCGCAGAGTTCCCTCGCCAATCCGAGTTGGGTTCCCCAACTCGCCACTTGGCGGCGCTGTCGCTCTTGCTTAGCAGCGCTCCTGCGGCTGCTGCTGGAAACTTGGTTTGCGATTCGCTTCTACCGATATCCGCGCGATCCGTGCTACGCTACCGGCTTATTCGAATCGAATGTCAACAAACACGCACTCCGGCCAAAGGAAAGACAAAACAATGACTCGATTAAGAATAACGATTGATCGCTTTATTCCAATAAATTGAATACACGGGGAATTTGCCGAGAGACTCTCGCATGCTAACTCAGATGACAATGTAAACGAATGGAGAGAGAGAGAAAACCTCGCGACCGCCGCGAACTAACCGCTCGCACGCTATAAATAATTTTTTCGCGCACGCTGCGCGGGATCGCACGCTACAACAATATAGGGGATGGTGCACCTACCGCGAGACTGATGAGGATACGGTGGCCAACCGTATAATTAACTGCTCCGCCGCTCGCTGCACTGCCGCTGTTATTGCTGTTTTTGTTGGTGTTGCTGCTGTAGGCGCGCACGTTTCCTCGTACGTACCCTCTGCACTCCACGCACTTTAATAAGGTCCGCGATTCTCTGGATCTCACTTGAGGAATACCAAACGCAAGGTTCGCACGATATTTCGCTGTGCTGCCAGACTGAGTGTCACAGTCGTACTGACTACCGAACTCTCCCCTCCCGGTCATTGCCCCTACGCGCCCTCTCTCTCTCTCGAACCGATCGCGGCTATTCCGCTCAGCCGCTTATTAACCTACGCGAGTCGAACGATTTTCGGTAATCGTTGCAATGTTTTCGATGTATTTTTTTTTCGTAAAACACAATGGTGGTATTTATTTTATCGTAGGTTTAACCTACGCGGCTCTAGAGTAAAAAAACTGTATTTTTTATGAGTTTTAATTTTTTTTGAGGGGGTTCCACCACTTTTAAAAATTTGAAAAAATTCACAGACATTTCTGGACTATAAATACATAATATATATTTTTTTCAGAGATGAGTCTGTCTTTGTTTTTGAAATATCGCATTTTGAAATATTCGAACGGCTCTAAAAATTTGAATTTCCCGCCAAAATTTTTTCCAGTTACCCCGTTTTGTAGAGCTTAAAAAACTCTACAATTTAAAAAAAAAGAATTTTCTAGCTCAAAAATTGACTGAGATATCGTCGAACAACTGAAAATCACAAAATAGGGCCTTATAAGGCCCCATTTGAACTTAGGGGTCTGAAAATTGGGGAATCTTAGTTGTTTTTCATGCTGAACAAGATAGTCCATCCACTTTTTCAAAATCGTTGGGGGCACTTTTGACCATCTTAATAGGCTAGACCCTTTAGAATTAACGTATGCGAATATGTCTAAATTACTTAATGATAAATTATTGAAATGAGACATCATCGTATTCGACCAACAAACAAAATCCTTACACAGATCAGACAATCTGTTTCCAAAGTCAGGTAAGAAGTAATCATTTGTTTGTATACCAATACTTGGTTGTTTGTCGTTATCGATTTTTGATATGACTTCTGTGTTAATTGCATGGATATAAATGTATGTTAGTGAACAATTTTGGTTTTGTTTTGTAGGGTCTTCATCTTGTGAATATCTTTTATCAATCAATTCTTGCGAGTCTATTGTTGCTGAGCTATCCAAATCTAATTTGTAAGACTGCAAGGATTTTATTATTTTGGCCATTGCTTTTTGACAAATATCATCATAAAATTTACTATAAGATACAATAAGACGTATTTCAGCATTTTATCAAAAATTTTCAAGTCATCTATCCTACACATTTTACAAACAGACGTTTTACAGTTACATTTTTAGTTGTAAAACAAGGCCTTTTGACAACGGAATGTACTACATGGGCAACGTCTGTTCTAATATGTGTATTGAGTGTTATATGTACAGGTTCTCCAAACAAAATCAAAAGACATGTATCTTTGTACGTAGAAAAATTGATGAAATTGAACGCTTGACAAGCACCATTCTGTATAGCTTTACCTCTGTCAGTCACCAGCTCTTTAGGTATATTTGCACCAGTTTGCAACCACTTTTGAAGCCATTTTACATAAACAGTAGTATCATTCTGTTCTGAAATAGCTTGAGTTATTGGTACAATCAAATGGTCAATATGAGTGCACATAACTGATAAGAATATATCGCTGGAATCTCCACCAGGCCTATTTATTTTTAATGTGATTGATCCTGTGGCATCTAATTCTAGTGCATTACCTAGTATTTTTAAAATATCGTTATGAACAGCTACTTGCTCTGGAGACCAATACATTACAAAAAATGGATCATATCCAATACCCTTAAAAAATCGGTTGAATTCTACATTGTTTTGTAAATGTGTTAAAGAATCAAATAGTTTCACTCTAGACTGTATCCCCAATTCTTTATTTTTTGCATCTTGTCTAGCACTTTGTAATTGCGATAGTTTGAATAAATGAGGTGGTTCAGGATCTCCGTGTGCCATCAGTTTTCTTGCATTATCTCGTCTCCATTGTTTTGGATTAGTAGTCAACAAATCTTTTTCAATTACTGCTTTTGCAGCTTTTTGCAAACGAACTTTTTTTGAATGTGGTATTTTTGTAGTGTTTGTTGTTGTAACCGTTAAAGAAATAGGCTCATCATCTGGTAAAATTGCTTCAAGAATAACTTTAATCTTTGAATGACAATCGGTACAATCACCTACCATTTCTATGTAATTCCAATAGAGTGTCTATGGAAACTGTAGGCACCTGGTAACTTTTTTTTATCGTAAATTAGTTTTCTAATGATATCAGTCCCTCCATCCTGTATAGCTATTGCTGAACGTCCACAATTGTAATTTTTTTCTATTGGACTAATAGTATTCCATTGATCAACGGACAGTGTGATATCAAATTTTAATTTTTTTCTATTCTTTTTGTATGTTTTCTTTTCACTGGTTTGAAATTCACAATCGGAATTATCAGTATCAGATTCATAATAGTTTTCTGTATCACTTTTTCTGTCAGTAATAAATTCTAAATTTTTTGATTTTTTATAATGTGTGAGAATATCATGTCTGTCTTTGTAGACCATCTTGAATAAATTGACACAATTAATTTTGTCATCTAGTGAGAAACATATCTCTTTCCACACATTATCTGATCGGTTTTTTAGTATTACACTATTTTCTGGAAAGATGTTATAGTCTAAAATTTTTTTTTTTATTTTTTCAGGAGCAACAGCAGGTTTACGACCAACCATAATCTACCAGCAATTATATCACTATGAACAAATAGTGCAAAAATTAATATTATCGGATAAATATTCTTCAAATTTTAATTTTATTTGTAATTTAAATGTAATTTTAGCAATGTGATTATATTTATCAATCAATAAGTGTGAAATACATACATTCCACTATTCCTACTACTCAATTTCATTTTATCGACAAAGTACGTTTGATTTGAATTCTTTTATATATTTCGTAAAAATATCGCTCTAAATACCAATATTTTCAAGACGTTTTTCAATTTTCCAAAAAAGTATTTTTGAGTTTATCGATTTGAGTTATCGATATTTTGAGTTATCGATTGAAAAATAAGTGGTTGTATTTGAAATGTGAACAAATAATTCAAAATAAATATTTTGCAACACAGTAATAGAACTATTTCTTACCTATACCTTCTTTCAAACTTTATAAACTGTGAAATGTATAATAATATAATTACTATTAATTAATGAAAATCAAAACAAGATTTTGTTTCTGCTCGGAATACGGTGAACGGTAGAAGCTGCGAGCTTACAGAAGCGAGTATTCAAAAAAACAAAAGACGATCGCAACAAAGCCACGCGCACTAACAGCCACGACTGCATAGAATTAATTCTTTTTTTTTCTTATAAAATCAAAACAAGATTTTGACATTTGTTCCGAATACGGTTTACGGTAGACACTGCGAGCAACTGTATGCAGAAAAACAAAAAACCATCGCAACAAAGCCACGTGCAGTGTAACAGTTACGAACACTGTGTAGATTCAATTCTTTTTTTCTTATAGAAAAATGGAACATTCTATTTATTCATTCATATACAATCGATAAATTGGCAACTTAAAACAACCTACGTGGAATTTAGAAGCTGAAATCGAAATTTTAAAAAGAAATTATATGAACCATAATCAAAATAAAAAATTGCAAGTGGCTTGTAAGAAAAATATCGAAGATCATTGTCATATTTTTTTGTTTTTCTACCAAGCAGAAAAAACTTCTTTACTTTTCTGGACAACTACTCAACCAAATTTGAATGGCGTTATAAATCTAGAAGAATTCAGCGGAAAATGGTGTGCTTTTTATTTACAACACTTTGTTGTGTACCAGATATTCGAATATCACGAGGAAAAATTAATTGCTCCACCGAAATTTTACATTTTCATTCATGAAGATAGCAAAATAACAAGGAGTGCAGAAGTGCAACGTCTTATAGAAGGAGTAATTTATTGTCAAATTGTGTTTCCCGAAAACAGTGTGTCATCCAAGACAATAAGACTATTTAGAGATGGATTTGAACAAAAAATGTACATGACACAGAATTTGTCGAATAGCAATTTTACTGACTTTGACATGGACACTGTAAGATTGGCTTGGAGCATGAGCTCGGTCAAAGTCATAGAAAACAATGCACAAACAATAGAGACATTTCTTAAAAAGTATAAATTAAGCTACTCATCAGGTAAATATACATTGTATGAAAATATTTTATTTGCAAAATCTAAAAAAAAATCTTGTTTTCACAGATCATGGATCCCAAATGCGAGACTAAGAAGTGTATCTTGAAGCTTACGTATAAAAACATTCTTTTTATATCTTTTATTTGAATGATTTTTATGTAGAAGTCCAGACTTTTTTAATTAGAATAATTACTCATGATACACATGGTGAACATTGATGTTGATACGTTGTAGGCTAGAGCTGCAGAGAATAACGCCATCAATAAAACATCAAAGAAATGTAGAAGAACCTGCAATGGTGTTAAATGTTAAATAGATACTTTGCAGATAATATTTATAATTGTCTTACATGTCACAATATCAGTTTATTATCGACATTTGAATTAGGACCATACCTGTCAATTGACCCAGATGAAGTTTATAGAGAATCCAGTTTTGCAACAGAAATTGGTCTCGATGCAGGCAATTTCACTACTAATTTGAATGGCATACCCAAAAAGCTGATAGTGAAAAACAATTGTTTTGTTTTGTGTGGAATAGTAGAATGCGTTTCACCTGCTGACGAGAAAGGATGGGACATTATATCGCATGCTATGTAATACATAATGACTGGAAATATATTATACATACCAATGAATATTTGCCTTTTGTTTTTCATATACTCAAATCATAAACTTATTTATCAAGTTGTAATTACAATAGATTTGATTCAAACGGTTCTCACTGATCTCTGTTCTCATCAAAGCCTGGTCGAGGCCAATATTTGAATAACTACTATTTTTAACTTGTCTTTGCTCTGCTCTAACTCTCTAACTAACTTTGCTGACGGTATTATTATTTGATTCGCCTAGCTGGAAAACAAAAATAACCATTAGTTGCTTATTGTTTAAAGATTAAATCTTTAAACAATCAACAACTAACCATGCATAACTTTATTGCTTACCTTATTAATAATGGTATTTTCTCACGCTCTAGTCTCAAATTGTTTCAAAAAACTGTAAAAATAATTGTTTATTACCTTTGCCTCTCCCTTACGCGATCAAGATAGATCTGACGTTTGGCACGAACGCACACACACATATACGATGTACGAGGTTACAAGGTATCGAAGTTTCTTCTGCGATAGTCTTTATTCCAGTACGCATGCGCGCACGGTATGAATCATACGTTTTTATATATATAGTTTTTTTAATAATTTTGTAGAAAATATTGTTTAATTGTCATGCAAATTGACTGGGCAAATTGAACTGGCTAGTGGGCAATTTTTTACAGTTTCGGGAATTAAAAAATTTAGAATAATCAAAAAGTTATTAGAATTTGAAGTCGCTGCTAATGAAGCATATCTTTATTAATTTTTAATAGTAAACTAAAAAATGGGCAAATTAATCCATTAGCATAACGTAAGTGGGCACTTAAAACACTATCGATTTGTAATTTTTTTTTTCATTTTGCAATATTGGTGCAGGCTGGACCGGGGGGGGGGGTAAGAAATTTGTCACGGTTGAATGTGAGGTGAGAGTGAGACGTGAGCTGAGGTGCAATAGGTAGAATCAAGAATGGATAACAATGATCATGATGTTTTCAACCCATTCGTCGAAGACAGACAAAATCAAGGTGCATATATTTACTACATTTAAGTTTAAAAATTTTATTGTTGTAGTAGCAATTCAAAGTTTATTTAAATCATTGGACGATGTTGAATATTTGCCTGTTAAATTGTAAATGATTGAAATAAGCAATGACCTTTTAATAAATACCATCAGAACGTACTCGTAATTTGCATTGTTCAATTTATCAGTAGTTCTTATTTCCTACTTATTTTTCTTATTATAATATTGTTGCCATATATTTATAAGCACTTTATTCTTTTTTTTAATTAAAACAACCATCGATTATTCATTTGATTAATAGATTATTTTCAAATAAAATCGATTTCAAGAATCGATTATTTTGGTAATTCGATTATTAGGAATCGAATACTTTTTCGAATAATCGAACATCACTAGTCCACCACTCATTTAGATGCAACAACGTGCATCTGCGCTGAACATGAGGTGTAGCCCTGTAGATCTATTCTTGATCTACATCCTGTGCCCATTCTTCAACGCTTTACCAGGACTCTTCAGTAGTATCATTTTAATACGATCATAAATATATTTTTTATGACAATTTAAACAATTATTTTGTTAATAAAAAATTATCTAAAACGTTTTTGACTCGGTAGTTTTTAAATTCATAATCAGGAACTTAATATAGATAAAACAAGCTTGGGTGGCGCAAACTATCCCAATTAAACACGAAAGTTTATGTGTTAATTGACGAATATATTTAATTGACGAATCAGCGCGGTGTATATTTAAAAGTCAATAGCTCCAATTGACTTTTAAGTAAATATCTATCATATTGCTTAACTTTAAGGTGGTTGTTACATTTGAAATGATAATACTCTTGTAAACAAATAAAATAGCGAACATTAGAAAAATAAATTTACATTTTAGCACCCGAAATTATTTATAAGTAAGTATAAAATATATTTTTTGACATAAATTTAAAGGCCCGCTTTGTTCTTTAAAATGAGTCCTTACAAGTAAAAAAATATTAATTTTTAAGCTGAGATATTGTTGAATTTGGTTATCGTGAAAATCGCAAAAAAATGTTATAACTTTGAACATTTTATGTGCGTAGAAAAAGAAATAGATATCTTTTGAACATATGGGTAAATTTTTTTGTTGATTTATACACAATCTATTTTATAAAAATGCCTCTCATATGAAAATTTGTGAAAACTCTGCAGAATTATGAATGTTTCTTTGTGGAATTGCTCATACTTTAGTTTTATTAAGTATAAAATTGATTAAAACCAATACTTAATAATGCGCATTGTATCAACAACTGTTATAGATATACTGATATATTTGTAAGAGGTTGTGGTAGTGCTGGAGCTGTACGGCGGGAACGTCGTTTGAATCCTTCTGCTGCTAGCTCCTCGTGCTGGACCCAAGGTCCCCTATGCGCCTTGCGTCCAATGATTCTCGGCGTCGAACGAAGAGTGTTGTAAGGTCGAGATGAAGAGAAAGAATGCGTCGTATCTTGAGAACTCCCTTTATTTACAGCTTAGTTTACACCGCTTAAGACACTAGATTTATGGCACTTAACGAGCGCGACATTTATTGCGAGCGGCCACAGCTGTGGGCACGAATGAGCGCGGGGGCAAAGCAATAGCTCGAGGCACAAAGCCTTGCCGGAGAGCGCACTGAAGGAAAGGACGAAGAACAGCTGTTCACGTCTAGGGCGCTGAGCGGTAACTGACTGTGATGCTCCCAGTCCGCTCGCGGAACGAGCGCTTGCTTGCGCGGATGGCGGCGAGACTGGGGAGTGCTGCCTTCTGGCGGCACAGGGCGTCCGGTCGGTGAGGACGCTACAGCCACTCCCCCCCTGGAGGTCGCCTGTTCTGAGGGCGACCCTTGATGAGATTGTGAGCGGATTGGAGGTTCCGTGGGCGCGAAGTGGACGCGCTTGGTTGGTGCGGCTGCTGGCTGCGGTAGATCATCCGCGGTGTAGCCTGCTACTAGAAGTGAAGTGGAGACCGTTGCTGGTCTGCCGTCCACGTCGATGGTGTACCTGTAGTCGTCGAGTCTCTTGATGACTCTGTGAGGACCTGAGTAAGGAGGAGAGAGTGGTGGCTGGATTGGGGCCACGCGTTTGAAGACATGAGAGCAGGTTCGAAGATCCTGGTGCATGAAGACTCTGGTCTTGATGTGGTGTGCGGTGGGCGTAGGCTGCACAGCACGGAAGTGATCACGTAAAGCGTCGAGAAAAGAGCTGTGGGAGATTGGCCGGTCGTCTTTGACGAAGAATCCTCCTGGCACTCTTAGTGAGGTACCGAAGAGGAGGTCCGAAGGCGAGGCTCCGAGGTCCGTCTTGAAGGCTGTGCGTAGACCCAGTAGAACGGTTGGGAGGATGTCCAACCAAGGCACTGTGGAGTGACAGGTCAGCGCTGCTTTTAGCGTGCGATGCCACCTCTCTACCATTCCGTTTGCTTGGGGGTGGTAGGGTGTTGTCCTGATGCGGGAAGAACCTAAAAGTTGAGCTAATGCTGAGAAGAGGGCAGACTCAAACTGCGGACCCTGATCGGTTGTGATTGTAAGTGGAGTACCGAAAATGGCGATCCAATCTCTGTAAAAGGCTGCTGCAATTGTCTCCGCGGATGTGTCCTTCAGCGGAATTGCGTGTGGCCAACGAGAGAAACGGTCTATGATGGTTAAACAATATCTATGTTCTCTTACCAGCGGCATGGTGATAATGTCGAGGTGGAGGTGACTGAAGCGCGCCTCGGGTACCTCGATGTGGTTTGGTTGGTTCCGTGTGTGACGGTGAATTTTGGAGCGTTGACAAGGAATGCACTCCCGTGCCCAGCGCAGGGTGTCTTTCTTGATGCCCGGCCAGACAAAGCGTTCCTTGATTTGTCTGCAGGTTTCTCGGCCGCCTGGATGCGAAGGAGCGTGGACAACGTCGAAGGCTAACTTGCGCAGAGAGAGAGGCAAGTAAGGGCGGACCGTGCCCGTTGCGACGTCACAGAGAACGCTGTTCCCTTCGATGTTCAGCGACTGGAGCTTCAGAGAAGTTGAATCTGCTTCGGAAATAGCGGCTTCTGGGTCTGCCTGGGCCTCAGAGATTGTTCTGGCGTCGAGCTTCGTGGGCATAGTGATGGTGCAGATGCGCGAAAGGGCGTCTGCGACACAGTTTTCATTGCCTGGAATGTGTATAATGTTAGTGCTGAACTGGCCGATGAAATCCAAGTGATGCAGCTGGCGTGGAGAAGCTTTTTCGGGCCGTTGATGAAAGGCCTTGATGAGAGGTTTGTGGTCTGTGCAGATTGTGAGGTTTCTTCCTTCCACTATGTGTGCGAAGTGTTTAAGTGACGCGAAGATAGCTAGGAGTTCGCGGTCGTAAGGGCTGTACTTCTGTTCCGCTGGCGAGAACTTTCTGGAGAAGAAGCCGAGTGGGGCGGGTTTCCCGTTGACGAGCTGCTCTAGAGAGGCGCCGAGGGATGAAGAAGAAGCGTCGGTGATGAGGAATAACTGGGCTTCCGGGTCTAGGAAGCTTGATGAGGTGGCGTTTGCTAAGGCGGACTTTGTGGCCTCAAAAGCCTCCTCAAGCTGGGGGGTCCAAGAGATGGGACGCCTGTCCTTTTTCTTGGCATTTTGAAGTTGGTCGTTTAGTAGGGCTTGATGCTGGGCTGCGTGCTTCATGTGATGGCGGAAATAGTTTATGGCGCCGAGAAAGC